GGACTGGTGGAAACGCATAAAGGAGCGTTCGAAGCCCGGGCTGGTGTGAGAAGGCGTCCGCTCCGAGCGAGGTTTGGTCCCGGAGACTCAGGGAAAACCACAGGCGACACTGAGCGTTTTCGCGAGCCGTGAACAGATCCACACGGTTCCCCGAACCTTATCCAGATCTGTGATATCAGCGCGGGATGCAGACGCCAGTCGGAGTCGCAGGGACCCCCTCTCGACAGGATGTCTGCCGCTACATTCAGGATCCCCGGAATGTAGGTGGCACAGCAGGTGGACATGTGCCCAACACAGTAAATCTGTGGCTATGCGCAATAGAGGGGGGGATCGAACTCCCCCTTGGCGATTTATGCAGGCTGCCGCCACCTGGTTGTCTGTGTGAACTTCGACATGACGGCCATCGAGAAGGGCAGCGAAGTGCATGAACACATTCCTCACTGTCATAAGCTCCAACACATTTATGTGCTCGTGCGTGTGGGAGGGCCAGCGATCTGCCGCCGTATGGGACAAGCACCTGCCCTCCACCCCAGACAGTGACGCATCCGTAAACACAGATACGTGTGACGCAGGATGTCCGATGGGAATCCCGTGTGAGGGGATGCAGGGATTCCCCCAGTGAGCGAGGTCCCCGCCCACTGAGGGGGAAACCCTCAACATACGTCTCTTCTGACGTATCGGGTGTACCCGGAGGCAGATGAACCAACTTTGCAGGCGCCTCGAGTGCAACAACCCCAGCAGCACCACCGAGTGGGCTGCAGCCATCATGCCCAGAAGTCTCATGACTAACAGGGCTCTCACGATCTCGCGGGGTTGCATGCGGGAGATCACCATGGTGAGATCTACCGCTCTCACCGGCGACGAACGTGCTCTCATTAGAGAGGCGTTCAGCTCCACCCCGAGAAACATAATCGACTGGGATGGAAGAACAGAGTTCTTCCCCCAGTTTATAGAAAACCCCAGGGTTGACAGATGCTCTGTTAACCTCCTGGTTTGCACTGACGCCCCGTCCTCGGACAGGGCGCATCGGAGCAGATCGTCCCGGTAAAATAAAACCCTCGTTTCCGCCGTGCGCAGTGGCTGCAGCGCGGTCTCCAGACATTTGGAGAAAGTGCGCTGGGCTAGCGAGTAGCCGAAAGGGAGGCATTCGCGCGCGCGTTCCGACAGCGGACGTGTGCTCGAGGTCACGTGAGCAACGTCTGAGGATTGGTTTCGCGCCCTTACCGCCGTCGCTCGTACCAGAGAACTGGGAGCGACCCATGGAGGGCTGTGCTCGAAAGGGCGATTGTGAAACAGCTGGAAGAGGCTGATCCGCACCGCAGAGCGTGGAGTCCATGAAGGACGAGTGGGAGCCGGGCCCGTGCACGGGAACGTCAAAGTGCCAGCGGATGGAGCCGCGCAATGTGTGCGCTTTGCGCGTGGTCGCGACAGCGCCATGACATCCCGTCCCACCCAAAGTTGTGGGGGAAGCGGGATGAGTCGGGCCTGGCCGTAGGCTGGGGGCGGTGCGCAAATGGAGCGCACCCTTACAGCTACCCGTGTAACATGACCGAGTCCAACTGTGTGAACATGCAGATGTGCTGCAGTGCTTGGTGCAGGGAACATCATGTGTGAGGATTCGGCAGAAGGTTCTGCAGAGGACTGTAGGATTGTGCTCTGGATGTGACGTTTTTTGGGTTTTTATTTCAAAACCAAAATAATTCACAGAGTTAACATTGCAGCCATAAGCACACATATTCCCCCCAACGAGTCGTTTTCGTGGTTGTTTTCGGCGAGGTTCCTGTGACTGCCAAGGCTGTGTCTGCTGGCTCGTTCGGAACCGTTGGCCGCCAACTCCCTGGTCCCGCCTCAGCGGGAGGCCGGCTCCGCGGGGCGGGCCGTGCAGCTGGGCGCATGGAGTTTCCGCGCCGTTCGTCCCATCCTCTGGGGGAACGGCCGGAGTGCGAGGCTGACCGAGAGTGGACCAGGTCTCGCACCGTGGCTGAAAGTTCAGCTGCTGAGCCCTCTAGATGATGCTCGTAAGATGGGGACCAAACAGAACGTCAGAGGTGATGTGGCCTTCCAGCATCTCTCTGTGCAGGTGTTCAGGAATGGAGGGCAGGGCCATGAGCCACAAGGCCGCTGGATAAGGGTCTGCCAGGCAGCAATGCGAGCAGAACCGGTGAGTACAGCAGCGCACAGATTGAGGATGGCATCAGCAGTTTTAGTAATGATGGTTTTTGACTCGACAGGAGAGTCAAGCTCCTCCACCATTTTGGAAACGCCAAAGGCGAGAAGGCGATGTTATTTCCTGCAGCGCCGGTCTGGAAGGCACACTGGTGTGCGCGATCGGTGAGCCGCCTCAGCAGCTGGTCATGCTTAGTGGGAACTGCTCGCGGTCCAGTGAGGTGGTTCTTGACGCCACACAGCGAGGCCAAGTCCGACTCCAGTGGAGGAACGGATGGCCAGCCCTGGTCGGAGAAGCCCTCGACCTTGGTAATGGGCGCATATGTGGAAATTGGCGCCTCGAGCCTGGCAGGCTCGGAGAAGGCGGCGGACCAGCAGCTCATGGCAGCGGGGAAGCGCGGCCAGACGGGGTCTGGACAGCGCGTCTGTGTTGCCCCGAAATTCCCGCCAATTCATCCGCCTCAGGGGAGCCGGTTCTGGAACGGCTAGCCACCTGCGGGTCGCAGCCGCGGAGATGATGGCGGGCAGCTCCTGGAGCAGCGCTCTAACTGCTGGCAGGGAGGAGCGAGAAACCACTGGGGCAGAAGGACCCGCTGAGTGAGGCTCGTCGACCTCCGTGTTGTACAGGAGGGAAAAAGGGCTGCGGCAGCCAGCCTCGTCGTGCTCCTCACGAGGCTCGTCGACCTCCGTGTTGTACAGGAGGGAAAAAGGGCTATGGCAGCCAGCCTCGTCGTGCTCCTCACGAGGCTCGTCGACCTCCGTGTTGTACAGGAGGGAATAATGGCTGCAGCAGCCAGCCTCGTTGTGCTCCTCACGAGGCTCGTCGACCTCCGTGTTGTACTGGAGGGAAAAAGGGCTATGGCAGCCAGCCTCGTGGTCGACCTCCGTGTTGTACAGGAGGGAATAATGGCTGCGGCAGCCAGCCTCGTCGTACTCCTCACGAGGCTTCTCGACCTCCGTGTTGCACAGGAGGGAAAAGGGCTATGGCAGCCAGCCTCGTAGTCGACCTCCGTGTTGTACAGGAGGGAAGGGCTATGGAAGCCAGCTTCGTCGTACTCCTCGCTGTCGATGACATCGTCCAATCGGTAGGAGCCAGCCGGCTCCTGGCCGACGTTGAAGAACCGTAACGCCTTGTCCAGCGAGTACGTGCCAGCCACCAGAATTTCCTCGTCGGTGGAGGGGGTGAAGTACTCGACCCGGCGGACCTTTTCAGCCACAGGCAGAGCGGTACAAAACGGGCACGAGGCCTGGGGGTCAAGGCCAGGCCAGCGTGGTGAGCCCCGAGACAGACCTCACACTTGGCGTGCAGGTCGCCGCTGGAGATGGAGCCCGTTTGGCAGGCCGGGCAGGTCCTGGCGTCGCTGGACATGGTCGGTGAGTAGATTTTTCTTGTATAATTGCTCTTAAAAGAAGCTCTTAAGCTTGGCGTGAAGAGAAAACGGAGGCGAGCAGTGGAGTCGCTCCACTTATATAACCCACAAGGGGTGCCCACGTGGTGGGCGTACATTTAAGCTCTTCATGATTGGCTGATGCTGAGATCACCCTTCCAATAGCAGCTCGCTTAAGGGCTAAGACTAGACGAAATAGAACTACTATGTTGTCGCTTGTGATCACAGCCGGCAGGCAGCAAGGAGGAGCAGGCAGGGCAGGGTGAAGTTACAGCATAAAGGTAGCAGTGGATATAATGCTTTTTGGTTTACATGTTTCAATAGCATTAAGATAAATGAGCGTTGACGATCTTGACAGGGTTTCCTCTCCCCACCAGGATAAGCATCACTCATTCATGTAAAATGTATTTATTTTTTCATGTCTGACTTTAACCGCATCTAATACTGTATTACGGCGTGAGCGCAACAGCGACAACTTAAGATCGATGTGTGAGCAGCCTGAGAAGTCGGGTGTTTTCATCTGAACCCTTAAAACCTCCAGCAGGCTACGCTGCACTATTGAAAAAAGGATAAACCTCCAACCTTCATATTGTCAGCCTCTCCGTGCTTGGTGCGGGCTCTGGGTTGTACCAGTTGGGATTTATCTGCTGATCTAAGTGATTTTGAAGGGTGAAACGTTTCAAACATCTCTGCTATATACAGAGGTCGTTGGCCATTTAATGATTTAAAAGTAAGTAAAAGGTCTTTGAAATCAATCCTGTAAGTTACTGAAAGCCAATGTAAATATTTTAAGATTGGTGTGATGTGATCATTTCTTTTGGTTCTGGTCTCTTGCTCTCTGTCTCTCTGCTCTGTGTAACGCACAGCCTTCAGACCTGCGGAGGAAAAAAACTACAAGATGCAGAAAAAAAGGATGAACCTCCAACCTTCATATTGTCAGCAATAAACGCAGCAAAACTTAACTTTCATGACCAAAAAAAAAAAAAAAAACCCACAAAAATTATTCAATAAATCAGGAGAGCAGGAACAAGTCTTATTTCTGATTTTACATTTTTTACTTCAATTCAAACTACTTAGACTTTTGTGTTTTCATCACATTTAGCTTGTATTTTATTTAACATATCATCAGCTTTACAGGTTAGCTGTTCCTGTACGCTTAAAAAATTATGCTACTAACCTTCTAAAAAAATTACCAAATCATTCACATGAAGTAGATTTGTTATTCATTATCTGAAAGTATCCGATTAGTTTAAAAAACTAAATATGTTTTGTTTAATTTGGTTTTCAGAATGTCACTAGTTTACTTATACTTTTAAAATATATATACTGATGTACTGAAATACAGTGAAATCAACTTGTGAGTACAATGCATGTTAATATAGTAAGTATAGCATGTTTAACATAAGCACATTCACACATGGAAAGTATCAATGTAAATAAATCATATCAAATCAAATCAAATTTTATTTGTAGAGCACCTTCCACAATGTTATCGGAAGCCCAAGGTGCTGAACAGCATCATCATAAGAAAAACATTCTCAGTACATGGGCATAAAAGCAAGATAAAAACATAAAATCATAAAATATCAAGCAAACAATATTACAAATAAAGAGAGATAACGGAATAAGACTAATCGATCAAAAACAAATGGTGGACAAAATAAAATCAAGCATCTGGGTTAAAAAGAAGAAGAATTAAAACCATAATGTCAGGGCAATTCAAAGAACCCTAGCGCTAAAACGCAATCAAATAAAAATGTCTTTAAACGAGACTTAAAGACTTGAAGGGATGGTAGTATGGCAGTAACTCTGCTGTACTTCATTGTGTAAAAGTAGCTCACGGGCCAAAAAATGTTGGAGACCCCTGCAATAGATCGTTCAGCCCTAGTGGATGCTTAGATGATTGTTTAAAGTTTTCTTTCAGCTAAATCTTCGTCCACAGAGCTCACAAGCAAAAGGCTTCTGTCCTTTATGGACTCTTTTGTGACCGTTTAAACTGATCTTTTGGGTAAATCTTTTCCACCGAACTCACAGGCGAAAAGCCAGTGTGGACTCTCATGTGTCTGTTTAAAGTTGTCTTTTGGCTAAATCTTTTTACACAGAGCTCACAGGCGAAAGGCTTCTGTCCAGTGTGGACTCTCATGTGAATGTTTAAACTTCCCTTTTCACTAAATCTATTACCACATAGCTCACAAGCAAAAGGCTTCTGTCCAGTGTGGACTCTCATGTGTCTGTTTAAATGTGTCTTTCGGCTAAATCTTTTTACACAGAGCTCACAAGCAAAAGGCTTCTGTTCAGTGTGGACTCTCATGTGTGTGTTTAAAGTTGACTTGTGGCTAAATCTTTTTACACAGAGCTCACAGGCGAAAGGCTTCTGTCCAGTGTGGACTCTCATGTGTATGTTTAAACTTCCCTTTTCACTAAATCTATTACCACATAGCTCACAAGCAAAAGGCTTCTGTCCAGTGTGGACTCTCATGTGTCTGTTTAAACTTGTCTTATGGCTAAATCGTTGTCCACAGAGCTCACAAGCAAAAGGCTTCTCTCCTGTGTGGACTCTCATGTGTTTGTTTAAACTTCCCTTTTCACTAAATCTATTACCACAGAGCTCACAGGGGAAAGGCTTCTCTCCAGTGTGGACTCTCATGTGACTGTTTAAAGTTGTCTTTTGGGTAAATCTCGTTCCACAGAGCTCACAGACAAAAGGCTTCTCTCCAGTGTGGACTTTCATGTGTGTGGTTAAATTAGTCTTTTGGTGAAACCTTTGTCCACAGTGCTCACAGGCAAAATGTTTCTGCTTTGTCTGGACTCTCGTGTGTTTGTTTAAATGTGTTTTTTGGCTAAAGGATTGAAACCTGGCAGCATCAGTCTCCTTATTCAAATGGAGATGCTCTCCCTCCATACTAGACCAGAGTTTCTCCTGTTCCTCCTTTATGTGGAGAAAATCTAGGTGCTGGTGGTTGACACGAGCACTCTGTTCTTCTGAAGCTTCTTATTTAACCAGAATCACCTGTTGAAAATCTGTAGGAAACACAGAAACATATTATGTCAATTACAGACAGCTGTAACTGTGTTTTCACACATATAACAGTTGTATTATTTCTTTAAACTGACAGTAGAATGAAATGTATTTACAACTGGAAACTGAACTTTGAGCCTCTATAAATCATATGAGCCTCAACCCTCAGGCTTCACTTTAATTTTCATACAAGAGTCATTAGAGGACAAAAATGTCCGCTTGTAAAAGTGGCTATAAAAAATGTATACATTAATGTTTTTTTTTTTACTTTTTTTCATAGATCTGTTGAACAACTTCAGCCCTGCTCAAACATAAAAAAATTCAATCATTTTGAAGCTTTTAACCCCTGAAATGCCAGTTTGAATACTCAAAAGTCATTGATGTAATTTATGAAGAAGAAGAAAAAACAGCACCGAGTTATTTTCTAAAAAAACATGTAACGAAACCGTTTCTGTGTTTTAAAAAGAACGACAGCATGGAATTAGCCTTGGATATGTCAAGAGTCTAGCAAAATATCACATTTTATGCTTTTTTAGTTTTTGTGTAGCAGCAGATTTAAAATTTACCACCCTCTTGTGCCTGTTACGACAAAAACGTCCCATTGACTTCAATGCAAACCACAGTTTTTGATCCTGTATTATCTGCAGCAAATATTCATGCTTTCTGTGATGTAATGGTTTCATTTTGGACAAAAGTAGTCAAATTTATGATTTTTACTGTTCACCACCAAATTCAGTCATTTCTTCATATGTTGCCCAGGCGAGAAAGTTTACACATTTCTATAGATCTTCTGCTGTTTTTATTGAAGTCAGAAGCTCAGCATGTAAACAAAACACAGTTTCACTCTCCTACTGAACATCAAAGGGTAGAAAACAAAAACAATATGTTTATGCACCTGGCTGGAGCTCAGGCACATCCAAACTCTTTGTAGTTCAGTTTGTTATGAAAGGACAGAAGTGTGAATGCATGCATGTGAAGTGACTCCTTGGAGCTCTTCGGTCATCTCCAAAATGACACGTTTTCCCTGGCCGACCTCTGCAGCCTCACCAGCAGCTTTCCCTGTGTTAACCTGACACTCGCAGGCATAGGAAGTGGCAACATCAGCAGTGACCCAGAGTTTCAATCCGTACTTTGCTGGTTTACTTGGCATATGTTGGCGAAACTTGCACCTGCCTCTGAAAGGGACAAGCTGCTCATCAGCACACACATCAAACCCAGTGTTGAAAAGCATTTGGAGGCGATGGGTCCACATGTCCCAAATCGAGTGGATAGGGGCCAGCTTGTCCTGCCTGAGACGGGAAGGCCTGTTCAGCTCATCATCAGGGTGGAGTTGATCATCTTGAATTTGGTGTGACTCATGGTGGCCAGGAAGATTGCACGTCCACAGTGGTCATCCCAAAGGCTGCAGGTGGATTCCCCTTTGGACTGGTACACACCAGCCAAAATCAGGAGCCCAATGTATGCTCTCACTGTGATGTCATCAATATCCCACCAGTTCTTCACCACACGTCTTCCATTTAGATTTGTCATGGTGACGATGATTTCAGTCATTTCTGGAGTAAAGAATAAATCAAAGGAGGATACCACATCGTAAATACGTGTGATGGTGTAACGTGTTGGCCCAGGATTCAAACATCTTGCAGCAGGAACATAGTGGGAAGTTTCTGCGTTAGTAGGAACCCAGACTTGCCCACTTTTAGAAATCCATCCTGGAATCAAAACCTGTGGTTTGCATTAAAGTCAATGGGACGTTTTTGTCCTCTAATGGCTCGAGTGTATAGTAAATTTTAAATCTGTTGCTATGTAAAAACTATAAATGCAAAAAATTCTAAAGTTTAGATATTTCATAACATAATCAAGACTGATTTGTACTAAACACCCCAGGCAAAAAAAAAAAGTCTTTTCTAGAAAATAACTCAGTTTTAGTGTTTTTTTTTTCATGAATTGGGGTGATGTGGGTGTGTTTGGAGGACTTGGTCAGAAGCCGAGCACAGGCGTTCTGAACCACCTGTAGACGGTTCAGGGAGGTTCTGCTCAGACACGTGAAAAGAGAGTTACAGTAGTCTAAGCGTGAGGAGATGAAGGTGTGGAGAACAGTCTCAAGTTCAGAGCGGGACAGAATGGGACTCAGCTGTAAGGGAAAAATGAGGTTCTTACATTTTAATTAATGAGCCGTAAGGCGTGGGATTCCATAGGAAATATGAAATCCGCCTCATAGATCGGGGTTGGTTAAACCAGAAGATCGGGTCTTTTTAATGCAGAGATCATGTAACCGTTATGTATTCACTCAGAGACAACAGAATAGAACGAGTCAAGTTTAAAAGTTAAGAAATTTTATTACTAACAATTAAACTAGGCTTATTTAAGAACTAAGTGTATAGTGCGACTAAAAATGGATGAGGCGGTGAATGGATGACGTGTCATGTAAATCAGAACCCGCAAATCCGAAGAAGCGATTAGTTCTGACGGGAACTGAAGATGTTGGTTTGGAATAAGCTGGGGTTCGTTTCAGAACTGCATGAGACACCATTAAGCCACGCCTACCTGCCTGGTGGAAGTCCTCTGTGAGATCAGGAATGCCGAGGTCCACCCGGACCCTCTCTGGACACTGAGCTGGTAGCAGAGCTGCGGTTCCGACCAGACCCGTCTCGAGATACTGCCGGCACACGACTCTTGTCTTGGCGTCTGTTCAGACCCAGCCTGGGTCAGTGGAGCTCTTATTCTGAAAGGAGCTGTTGTCGTTGCTTGTTGTTATAGCGACTGGATTTTCTCAGCTTGTCGTGGTTCTTTCGGTTGAAGAGTTAAAGTTCAGGATTGGCCACTCCGTCACTTTGCTCTGGAACGCTTTGAACTGCATTAGAGCTGACGTGGCATCTGTTTTATACCTCGGATGTTTTGGTTTATTGTTGAATGAAAATTACCAAACACCGTCAGAAGCACGCCTCCGTCAGATCTGTAAGATTCTGATTGGATCAGTGAAAAATGTGTCAAGTCCTTTTAACACTACGTGAAATGAGTCCTGTTGAACCATTTAAAGTTACATTACTTCATTTCTAAGATCATAATCAAATAATTAATATTTTAATTTCACAGGTCGGTCACATCTTGTTATATCGACTAACACTTTGATGGATTAGCTTTATTAAAATAGAGTTCTTTGATTAATCAAAAGGAAAGAATTCATTCTTCTTTCTTCTGTCTTCATGCTGGAATGTAAACAGTTTAGAAACGACTGTATGACCTTCAGGCTGTTTCAGACACACTGACACTGTGTCAAAAGGAAACAGCTGTTAGGGTAGAAATGGCTCCTTCAGCACGTTACACAGCTTAGCAACGTTCCTGAGATGGAAGAAGGAAGAGCCAACAAGAGAACTGACATGAGAATCCAGGGTGACAGCTGGGTCAAAGGTCACGCCAAGATTTCTGACAGAGGGTTTGGTGTGGGAAGCAAGCTGACCAAGAGTCTCTGACTTTGGGAACCAGCTTCTCTGGAGCACAGATGAAGATCTCAGTCTTATCTTCATTCAGCTGTAGAAAGCTCCCACCATCCAGGTTTTAATGGAGTCTAAGCAGGAGAGTAACAGCTGCAGCGTAGACATCTCATGGGGCTTAAAGGAGATGTACAGTTGGATGTCATCCGTGTGAAGACGCTAGGAGACTCCTTTAAATGAGCTCAGCAGGTGCTGTAAAGGAAGCAGATAGAGCAGGGCCGTGCAGAGACCTTTGAAGGGGCGGGTGCTCAAAGTTAAAAAAGGCAGACGCTGTGGATGTTGCAGGGGCGCCCAGATAAGACTTTGCCACAACAGCCAGGGTGGGGAATCTCATTTCATTTTCCTTCCACCACTGGAGTGGGTTTCGGTCCTTTGGAATGGGTTTCTCCCCAAAGTACACAAGCAACTCATTCCTGACAGCGTCTTCTCTCTGTTCCCGGCCTGAGTCGTCATCTTCCAGCTCCTCCTCATCTGAGCCAAGCAGTGAGTGTAGGACGGACTTTGGCTTCAGCATGGCATCATGCTGCTGGTGGGAGACATCAGCTTCAGGTTCTTCCTTCACTAGAACTGGTCTGGCTTCAAGTGCAAGGCTCTGAAGTTTGATTTTTACCTTCAGGACATCATCAGTGGAAAGAAATTTCAGCTTTCGGAATCGTGGATCAAGGGCTGCCGCGAAGATGCTCACATTATTCTCATTTTCATCATATGAAGTCTGATTCTTCCATCTGAAACATAATTGATATGATTTTTACACTTACATAAATTCAAAGTGCTTGGAGGGAAAGACTAGTAGAAGCAACAGCTCTATGATATATACCTATGAGGAAAACATTAAGACACAAACTGGGAAAGCTTAATTTAAAATACATTTAGTTAGTTTAAAACTAGATTTCAAGACCAGAATAATTACACTGACCTTGAAGCAATCTCTGCAGCGACTGTTGTTTGGAAGGTGGCAATGGGAGCACAATCAAATGTTTTCTCTGTGGACTTCTGTAGACCTTTCACCAGAGGCGGCAGGACAGATCCTGTGACGTATGCCTCTCCACTAAGGAAGACAGTGGCTTGCTCAAATGGCTCAAGTGCTTGCTGTAATTCCTCCAAGAGGCTCCACTGTTCAGCTTTCATATCAAGGTAACGTTGTGATGCCTTAGTGACCTCTGGGTCTGAAAGGGTTGCAGTTACAGGCCAGCGCTGCTCAAGGAGGCGTGTAATCATATAAAAGGAACTATTCCATCGCACAGCTACATCCTGGATTAATTTGTGTTGAGGAGTGCCCATCTGCTCTTGTTTGGCCGTTAGTTTAAGGAGGGCAAAATTGCTATTGTGAAAGTAGCTGACAAGCTCCCTTGCTGCCCCAAGTGCCCTGCTGATCTGGGGGTGTTTCAGAGCCTGGTTGACTATCAGCTGTGTTGTATGGCCAGCACACCGAAGGGAAGATACACCATGCCTCTCCTCAAGGATCCGTAGGGCTTTCACAACATTAGCTGCGTTGTCGTGGACTATTGCCTGGACATCATTGCGAAGAGAGAAATCAAACTTCTCAGCAACCTCTTCGATCCAGAGAGCGATGTTGTCTGCTGTGTGTCGCTCTTCGAGGGGCTTTGTACACAGGACAAATGAGACCATCTCCCAGTTGTCGTCGATGTAATGGCAGGTCACGCCAAGGTAGGCCTCAGTGGCAATGCTTGTCCAGGCATCAGTGGTGAGCGTGATTTTTGAGGACCTCTTATTTATGTTCTTCTTTAAATTCTCCAGAGTATCTTCATATGTCTTTTCCAACTGGTTTGTGAACCACCACCTGGATGGACATTTGAAGCCGGGACAGGCGTATTCGACCATATCGATGAAGGCGTCACCCTCAACAAGAGACAAAGGCCTCATGTCTTTAACAATCAACTGTAAGATAAGGAAAATATAAATATAGAAACAACATAGCATTTAACAGTTAATTACTAGACAAATCTCACAAGGACATGAAGAAAAAAGAAGCCAACAAAAGCAAACGCTGGAGATTATAGACACTGGACCCTATTTTGTCCTATTTGTCATCTGTTTTTATCTAAATGAGGGTGAATTTTTTTTACATAGTTAGCAGTTTCCTCCTAAAAGATGCTGAAAGCAAGCAACAGTTAGCTAATATTTATAAACTTTCAAGATCCTTTTATTAAGCTCAGCTGCCCTCTGAGGTGTGCATTGCATCTCTTGCCCAAGATAAGACGACAAGGTTCTTTGCTTTGATCTGGAAAACACAAAATCAATTCAAAGATTAAAAACGTTTATAGTCAAATGCACAGTTAGAAACATGTTTCCCTGTTGCAATAAAGTCATTACTTTGCCGCCCGCCCTTGTTGCCAAAT